GCCTACTTTTTTAACCCTTTATGACCTGCCATAGAACAGTTCCACCAGAGTATATCTTTCTATTTTTACATGCTGTGCTGTCATTCTTTTGAGCATTTTCACATGCCATACATCAAAATAATCCTTACTTTCTCTACTTGAAGGCTATGTTTGTAATAAATCAATAGTACCTAGATAAATATCTCAAAAATGCAATAAACAAAAAGAAAAACAATTTTTTTGAAAAAAAACTCCATATTTTATTCAATACAAAAAAATGATAAATGTAAACCTCAAACTTGTCAATGAGAAAAATGTGCATAAAACAGTTTAAAACTATACAGAATTGATTTGAACTGTTTACATCACTTAGTTTTTAAGATACACTCATTTAAAAAAGGGGAGTAAAATGCCATATGTAAAATATTCAATTACATTTGTGGTCAAACAGATAACATTTTGCTTTTGAACATTGATTAAACATTGAATTGGTTAGAATATAAATTAAATAGACCCTGTCAGAACAATTAATAATAAAATAAATATAAAATAAATAAATAAAGGCGATGAGCAGAAGGAATTCGGTGCGTCCGTGTACTTTCATTTTGACATAACGTTGCGCGCATGCGCACACGTGTGTGTGTGTGTGGGGGGGGGGGTGCGTGTGTGTGTGTGAATGTGCTTGTATTTGCGAGTCTATAAACGAGAAAGAAATGATAGAATGAAGCAATGGTAAAAAGACAATAATGATAAGAAGGAACATATAGCAGATGGGAGTCAAGTGCGAGTCAAACCTATTATATATTCAGTCAAACGCATGGCCAAAAGACGCTGCTTCTGACGTCACTACATGCGACACAAGCTGGGGTCAAAGTGCACAGGAAGTGATGTCGTGATCAGTCCATGGATCCGTCATCGGAAGACGCAACTACCAATTGCGGCTCTATAGCACATGTGTGCAAAGACGTGCAATGCATTTTTGTGTGTTTTTTTGGAAACGCGCATTATTACATACTCATTAGAGGGTGGAAACCGCGCAACATGAACATGTTGAGGCTTGATCTGCCATGTGCACCGAACGTGATACCTCAATGCGCCATCGGAAGGCGTTACTATCAATCGCAGATCTACAGATCATGTGTGCAAAGACGTGCAATGCATTTTTGTGATTTTTTTGAGAAACGCATTTTGCGCATTTTGTACAGACTCATTAGAGGGTGAAAACAACGCAACATGCGCATGTTGGAGGCTTGATCTGACAATTTTACATCTCTGGTTTTGTATGCAAAAAGAATGATTGAGCTAGCCACTTGGTTTCAGTTTCTATAGGCTGTTAAACAGACACACGCAAACCGGAGCGCCGACGCTCCCGTCGGTCTTAAAGGGTTAAATAGAAATGAATGGGAAGAAAAATAGTTCTGAAAACAAGATTCTTTGTCAGAATAACCTGTGAAGTGGACCAGACTTTATATTCACAATCAAAGATGATAATGTTATTACCTTAGAAAAGGACCGAGTATGTTTAGGCAATTAAAAATAAAATTTGCCCGGTCATGCGCAAAACAACTTTGCCCACTACATTGTTCTGTACAGGAATGTTTATGCCACTCTTCCATCTGCTAACAACTAGTTCCAAGTACAGTAGAATACCGCCTGCCAAACCAGCCTTGCAGGTACAAATACACTACCCCACTCCTGAGGGGAACTAGAGTGTAGCAGTAGGAATGACTAGACGGATGATAGCCTATTTTTAGACCTGCATCACAAGCACCATAACATAGGCCTGTTGTTCTCGGACCACTTCATACCTCCATTCATCCTGCTCGGTTTAAGATGTTAGCATAGAATTTAAAAATAATTACAGCTTAAAGGGTTAGTTCACCCAAAAATGAAAATCCAGTCATTAATTACTGACGTTCCAAACCTGTAAGCCTTTCGTTCATCTTCGTAACACAAATGAAGATCTTTTTGATGAAATTTGAGAGCTGTCCCTCTATTGGCAGCAACTCAGTTTCCACTTTGATGCTTCAAAAAGTTCATAACTAGATCAGTTGTGGTAAACTGAAGCAAGTTTTCTTAACATGCAAGACAAATGCCAATGAGGTTCATTCCTGTCACGCAGCATGTTTGAGCTTCCTCAAGAACCAATAAGAGTCATTCTCGTGTTATGCAGCACATTTGACTTTCCTCAAAAACCAATGAGGTTCATTCTGGTGTTACGCAGCACATTTGAGTTTTCTCAAGAACCAATGAGGTTCATTCTTGTGTTATGCAGCACATTTGAGTTTCCTCAAGAACCAATGAGGTTCATTCTTGTGTTATGCAGCACATTTGAGTTTCCTCAAGAACCAATGAGGTTCATTCTCGTGTTATGCAGCACATTTGAGTTTTCTCAAGAACTAATGAGGTTCATTCTTGTGTTATGCAGCACATTTGAGTTTCCTCAAGAACCAATGAGGTTCATTCTTGTGTTACGCAGCACATTTGAGTTTCCTCAAGAACCAATGAGGTTCATTCTCGTGTTATGCAGCACATTTGAGTTTTCTCAAGAACTAATGAGGTTCATTCTTGTGTTATGCAGCATATTTGAGTTTCCTCAAGAACCAATGAGGTTCATTCTCGTGTTACGCAGCATATTTGAGTTTCCTCAAGAACCAATGAGGTTCATTCTCGTGTTACGCAGCATATTTGAGTTTCCTCAAGAACCAATGAGGTTCATTCTCGTGTTATGCAGCACATTTGAGTTTCCTCAAGAACCAATGAGGTTCATTCTTGTGTTATGCAGCACATTTGAGTTTCCTCAAGAACCAATGAGGTTCATATTCGTGTTACGCAGCACATTTGATTTCTGCAAGAGGTTTGTTGTCTCGCGTCAAGCGGAGCTTCTTTTCATGTTCGCTGATCAACTAATTTAACTAAATGTTTTATCTAAATTAACTCTGTTCATTATATCATGCAATCAAGTCTCTTCAGAAACTGTGGTCTAAACCCCTCAGTTCAAATGGATTAGTTTTACGATCTCTTTATGAACGTTTGGAAGCATCAAAGTGGTAGTTGCGTAGCTGTCAATGGAGGAACAGAAAGCTTTCAGTTTTTATCAAAAAATCTTCATTTGTGTTCCGAAGATGAATGAAAATCTTACGGGTTATGAACAGCATGAGGGAGAGTAATAAATGACTGAATTTTCATTTTTGGATGAACTATCTCTTTAATGAACTATCTCTTCTGCTGTACATGCAAACAAAGATCGTATACTGCATTTATTATAGGCTACGTTACGTATTGGCACAATCAGACTTCTAATATTCAAACAAATGTTGTTTTAGCCAGTATACAAAGACTGGGAGTGCCAGTGGATGGTATTCATGCAATAAGATGACGACTGTGTGTATGTGCCTGCAGTGCTCGGTCCATTACTGGAATCTAATTATCCAGAGAGACCCTGACAGCACTCTCTCATTTCATAACTCAGGGTTCAACTGGAAACTGCATTAGTGTGTTTGACAGGAAATAGCTTTAGAAAAAGACTTCTGCCCAGTCCTTCAGCATATGGACAACAGGTAACAGGATATTAGATTTAAGCTCTGCATATTCCATATCATCTATCTATATTCAATACAACATGCAAAGCGTTGTCCAGGTTGAACAGTTTCATTTATACCAGCTACATCGTACAATAGCACAGGGTGTGACCATGATGTCAGAGCAGGACACCGATTTAGGATCCATCACAATGGAGAGATGAAAGGCGAATTTAGATCCAGAGTTTAAATGTAGTTCAACAGACCATGAAGAAAATCCCACCACAGGCACTAAGCCTTGACAGCTCTAAAAGTGAAATAATAAAGAAAATAGGGTGGAAAATATCTTCGGGAAAGCTTCGGGCAACAAATCACACAGGCTACACCTTTGAGTGGCATGAAAGGGCATCTATGCACCCATGCAGACAAGCTAATGCCGTACATGACTCAGCCAGGCCATCACTTATTTATGGCTGGTTTTTATTGATGAATGGGCTTATGAGGTTGCAATAAGCAGGGTGAGGCTAGGGTGGTTATTAAGAGGGCGTAACAGAAAAACACTGTATGGATATTCTCTTATTTTATTTATTTCAGAAGCTCTGCAGTGTCGTCAGCTATGATTTCATACATAGAAACACCACGGTAAATACATTTATTCTCACTTTAGCAGCAAGCCAGAATGGTAGGCTACAATCGACCCCGAAGTATCTAAACAATGCTGCTCTAACTGAGCATTTTGTCAGGTATGAACCTCACTGGCAGTCAACACACACGGTCACTACAGCATCACGTACAGTCTGGCCTGAAATAAAAAGCGACTTCTTTACATACATGGCAAACATGGAAAAACAATGGGAAAAAAAATCTACCTCAAAATACTATTAATGGGTTAAACCAATTAACAGTATTTTGAGGTAGATTTATATAACAAGAAAGTTAAGGATTTGCTAAGTATGAAAAGTATGAATTGTAAATGTACGGTTAAAATTATATTATTATTATTATATTCAAGACATTTTGTAAGTCAAAATATAAATTAATATAATAAAAATAATACCTTTTAGGCTACATAACATTGAAATTAAACAGAAAATAGGAATTTAAAAATATGAATATTGGCTATGGTTTGTGAATAGGCTTATTATGATAAACTTGGGTTGTAAGTGTATTTTTACATCAATTTTATGGCCACTGATAGATAGATAGATAGATAGATAGATAGATAGATAGATAGATAGATAGATAGATAGATAGATAGACAGATAGATAGATATGTGCATGTATTTACAAAACAATGCTGCCATGATGAAATGAAACAGGCTACATTGCTATAGTGCAGGCCACTGATGGTTTAGGAGAATTCGGTAACCAGGACAACGCCTCATCCTCCGCATAGTGGACCACAATACTGCGAAGCACGGGTGTCACTCACGCTCGCCCACACATACTGAACACCAGAAAGCGGAACGTTTCGTTCATTTTACACACGCACACACTGACCTGTCGGATGCGGTTCTGGTGGGGTGGAGAGCTTCCTTCGGGTGAGGAATTGTTGGAGGCCATCCTCACGTCTCGGACGGAGCCGCCCCTGCTCTGACTTTCTGCCGAGCTTTTCGACATTCAGGCTCAGCGCGTGATGATGTCCAGGAAACGGTATCTGGCAGTCCTGATACTGCGGTTGTCGAGACCTGTGCTCCGGCCTCAGATGAGAGGGCTGAAGCTCCGAAACATGTTGTGGTTGAATTCGACAGTGGGAGACAGGCGAACGTCCTGTGGCGTGACGGTGCGGGTCTCGCGCGCTGTCCTGCGACACTCTTGCTGCTCACATGGACATGAACCGATGTTGCAGTGCTGAAACACTGACCGAGATACAGGGTGAATGTGGCTAATTAACGAGAAGCCTTAGATAAATATACGATGGTGTAAGAGAGGCGCAATACGAGCGATGTTCTCATCACTGTGTTGAATAGCCCCCTCCCGTGCTCCCCTCTCTCTGTCTCTCTCACTCCCCTCCTCCATAAGCCAAACCTCCAATAACACATGACGAGGCAAAACCTAAATAGATTTAATAGCTTCTATATGGAATATACAGTAGACCCCAAAAAGTATTTGGACACTTAATGTAGACTACATCTAAAACGTGTGCATTTGATAGCAACATATCAAAACAAGTGATATGCAAATAAGTTACTTCTTCAGAAACCTGTTTTCGTTTTGTTTGTTTTTTACCTGTTTAATGGCTAGTTACCATAATGACAACATACCCCAAATAGGAGGGTGTGTTATCACAAAACATCAATGTGTTTAATTAACTGTATCAGCGGATATAAATCAATAGTTTTCTAGCCAAATAGACCGAATACATTTCCACTTAAAAGTGACAATTAGTTCCAGTCTCTTCCATCTGTATTGTTTTATTTAAAAAAAATAGATATCATTTTAACTGGTTAACTTGCCATGTGTGGATTTGAGAAGTATGAAAAGAGTGAATTGTGAATGTACAATATATTTTAAATAAAAAAAGTCCCTTTGGCTATCAGTGAGAATAAAACACAAAGGAAATATAAATCAATACATCTGAACAGTGGCTATGGTGTAATGTTTTGGTTGTTAATGTATTTTTAAATTATGGTAATGATTACTGTAAATTTAACAGAATTTTTAGATGATAGATCGATGATGGGTCAGTAGATAGATAAAGATTTTAAGAGGGGGGCGGTTTATCTTGACATGTCATTAAATAACATGATCTGCTCCACATTACAAAAAAATGTCCATCTCTATGTTGTTAAATGTACACTTTAAGCATCCAAATAGTTTAAAGACACTGAAAACTATACATCATACTACTTTAAATTTACAGTGCAAGCACAAGTCTAGCGATTGAACATATTAAATTTCATTTTTTCACACAGCACAGTCAATAAAAAAAGGATAGGACATAAAAAATATACACTTTATTAAACATCTACTTTGAATCAGGAATCGACGTAACGGAATTATAATGGTGAACAGTACTAACTTGACACTGAAAACTCATTTTCTCAGTACAGATTAACATAAAAGTACCATTTTTAACAATCAGAAACAAGAATCAGCAGCTTAATCTATGTATAGTACGTTCTGCTTTCACAAAAATAAGCTTTACTGATCTGAAACCACAGCAAAGTTCTAAGACTTACTGCACAGATAAACTGGTAAACTTAAGGACCTTTTGCTTTTAAGCAACTGGGTTATGCAAAATTCGTTAATGGCAATGCAGAAAGCAGAATCGTAAATAATACATATAACATACGGAACTCTGGACCCGAATGTGTGAAAGAAAGAGAATCAGATTTGGAAAGGCACAGTATTACTTACAAAATGTTGATTCTCAGGATGTTGAACCTGAAGAAAACTCAATTTGATTTCACTTTTAATATAGGACTAACCTTTAAGCGCTGCCAAAAAAGCTTAAGGGAGCAGAGTTACCTTTAAAAAAACAACAAAAAAAAAAAACACACGTGCCTATTCGTTTTAAGTTAAACCAATTAAATGTATGCAAAGCAAAATGCTTATATTTAATGATACATCTTTTATAAAAGTATGAGTAATTCAGGTTTAAGAAACTAACCTTTCTTGGGCTTTGTAGCATATTCAATGAAGCAGCACTACCTAACAGCGTACTTTAGTGCAGTATAATTTCTCCGACCCCACACCGAACACCATATACAGGAAGCCATTCTGAATAGCTTATCCACTCAATATATACATCAGACAGCAGAGAGCTGGTCAAGGTTGTCCTGGGAACGACTGGTGAGGTGCGCTTCCAGTATCTCTCCAAACAGACCTCTCTTCAGCAGACTGTATGCCAATGGCAGCAGCTGACGAACCACTTTATTGAAATACTACCGAAAGAAAGAAAAAACCAAAACAAACAAAGCAATTGGTCAGTTGTTCAGCAGAACTCTATATCACAAGAAACCTGTCAGAAATGGCTATTAATGTGTCTGCAAAATGCAAGGACACACACCCCCTGGAAGAAGGCCTTGGACGGAACGCAAAAAGCTATTAAAGGTAATGGCTATGCAGGTCTTAAAAAAAATCCGTGGACACGAACACTGCATTTGTCAGCTAGGCTAAAAGGGTTAGCTCATCCAAAAATAAAATAAAATAATTTACTCTCCCTCATGTCGCTCCAAAGCCATAAGACTTCCGTTCATCTTTAAAAAGCAAATTGAATGTAACTAAGATATTTCTGTCCCTCCATTGAGAGCTACGCAACTACAACTGTGACAAGTTTGCTACAACAAGAAGTTTGATTGTAAAATTAATCCATATGAAGAGGCATGTTTATAAAAGCTACTTGAATGCTCTAATTGAACTAAAACCTAATCCTAGGTTAATCTTTGGATGTGTAAGTTGATGAATGTTTATATGTCAATAAAATCCTAAATTCAATCTGTTCATCATATAAAGCGATCGTGTCTTAAAAAAATTGGACTATACTGCTCAATTCACATAGATTCATTTTACAATCTCTTTACGAACTTTTTGAAGTGTCAGTTGTGTAGCTCTTTAAAGATCTTAAAAAGATCTTTGTGTTCTGAAGATGAACAAAAATCTTAGAGGTTTGGAACAACATGCAGATGAGTAATTATTGACAAAATTTTAATTTATAGGTGAACCATCCCCATCCCTGCACTGTCCATTATGAAATGTTAATAAACTAATAAATAAATACATTTATTAAAGGGGTGAACTGCATGAACTGCTTTTTTTTTTTAAATAATATACATATATTTTTAATCTTTTTTCAATAATTTCACTCATAATTTCAGCAAGATTTTGCCATTACACATGTGGAATTGCTGAAAAATGGCAACAAAAGAAATTCAGCTATACATGTTTAAGCCAGAATCTGATCCCAAATCTGAAGGCGACATACCTACAATGCAAAAACCAAGAATACGCCAGTCTATGACAATATGGTCATTTTTATTTATTCCTTACGTATTTGTGTGGTAGTATTGTATTTTATTGCGTTATATTAGTGTTGAAACAAAGATGCTACAGAAAGGCGTTTTATCTCGCTACAGTTGAAATATTTTTCAACTGACCCATTAAAATGTAAACATGGTCAGTCATATCTTCAGTGAATGTACACAGACGCTAAAGTATAACATCCGCTAAAAATAAAGATAAATATTGACGACAAATACCGAATAAACTTCAATGTTTTACAGTTAGATGCTAAAAAAAGTCAAGTGTTCTTTGCTTGTGATTTATTTCTTTGTGCTTTATATTATTATTATTTTACTTAAAACAATTTTTTTATTTAACTGAAAAATACTTAAAGCAACATGTTGATTATTAATTTGCATTAATATTTACCATTTTGAATAGATAGATAAATAAAACTAAGATAGGATAGGATAGATAAAACTAAAAAAAAAAAAAATACAATGCAAAGACAACTGCGAAAAACACATGAAATACTTCAATGTAAATGTGTGCATATTTAGAGTTGAACTTTTGATTGAATATCATTTGTGTGAGTGTGTGCGTGTTTATCTTACATGTGATCCATAACAGAACAGATCTATCCCAAGCTCATAGCCCATGCCGTAATCACATTCATCATTGGCAAATTGAACAAAGGTGATCATTTCCTGAATGGGGGCGAAAGCTTTCATCCTCTCCTCATCATCCTTAGCCTCCGCAATCACTTTGCAAATCTTCTTCAGACTTGCTATAGGTAAACAAAACGAAGAAAGTAAACTAAAGTATTTTAATTGTTTTGTCTCCCATTACACATTTTAATATTGATATTAAAATGATGAGACGTTCTCATCCTTGACATATGACATTTCGTCGAAATACTACGCACACGGCACCCTTTAGCGTCAATATTTCGACAAAATGTCATATGGCGTCACCTATATGACGCCAAAGGATGAGAATGTGTTGGATGCAATACAACTGCAGCATTGTTTCACAACCTGGCCATTGTAAAGACCCCGATATACTTCACTTACCCCTAAACAAAGAACGAAAATAAACTTCGCCGTGAGTATATCGGAGCATTTAATCAACACTAAAATGCAAAATATCATTAAAACGGGTGAGAGAAATTACGGTTTACCATCAGTTTCTGGCAATTCTCTATATCCAACATCATTTTTATCCACTGGAACCACAATTCCTGCTCCATGAAATGTCTTTGTGACAACCTGCAGGAAAAAAAGATTGGAAATATCTGTAAACATTTGGAAATTAAGGACTTAATTTACCAAAAAAATTTCTGTCATGAATTAGTCACCATCATATTGTTTCAAATATGACTTTCGCTCATCTTCAAAAATGAAAATGAAGATATTTTGGAAATCTACATGAATCGAGCAGCTTAATCCAAATCTTCTGAAGAGACAATCGTTTGATGTACAGATTTAATTTAAGCCTTTATTCATTTATAAGCACCGATTATTGGACATCTTCAGAATAATTCAATTAAACCACTCGATTCATATAGATTTTTTTTTACAATCGTTTTGAATCGTCAGAATTGTGGGAGAATAGACTTTCAATGGATGGGCAGAAAGTCTCAGATAATTAAAATATCTTAAGAATTAAAATATCTTAATAATATCTTATGCATTTGGAAAGACATGAGAGTGAGTAACTGATGACAATTTTCATTTTTGGGTTAAAGGTCAAAACATGCCAGTTACCTCCACAAAAGTTTTACAGAGACAAATATGTGAGTCTTTTTTTTTTATATACTTTTCTTCAAATACCTTTCTCTCTCTTTGTTTCATTGCTTTAGTTTTCTGCTCCAGGGGCAAATCCAACCTCTCTGCCTCTCGCCTCAAATCTTCTTCCAACCGGTCCAAAGCAGCTTCGTTGTTCTGTTGTCCCTTCTCCTTTCTTTTCTTCTTCAAAAAGAGCCTAGGTTAGTGTGCAAAAAGAGAGATTGTGCAAATAGAAATTAAAAATGCTATTATAAATGCTATATCCCTTTTGAAATAAATTATTATTTTAATCTGATTAATTCATTTGTCACTCCAAAGGACCATTTAAAATAAACGTATGAAAGAAACAAGGTTCAATAAAAATGGGGAAGAAAAAATAAAACTTAAAAGTTAAACCTAAAATGAGCATCCATTTTAATCTTATAGTTTCATTATCTACTGAAGACACTTACAGAACTGCTGCAAAGATGTTGTCCCCCATCTGTGTGATGGTACAGCATTTCTTGGCTTCGTTCTCCCCAATAAACACAGGTAAAGCATCAGGTAGATCTCTGAACAGGGAGACAAGTACAGTTAAAGAACCACACAAACCTTATTATAAATAAATATACACAAGTTGCAGTTTGATGTGCCAAAATTAGCTTTTGCAAAAATCCTTACAACTGTTGCGTTACCCGATTATGAAAATACATGTCTATTAACAGGCAGTGCTGGTTAATAAATGATTATATGTAATATGGATTATGTAATGATTTTCCAAAAATGTGATACTTGTATTTGGATTGTATTTCATGTTAAAATAAGAAACCAGTTACTTATTTTTTTTATTGCTTTTTTTTAATATCACAAAATTTCAGTAAATTATTCAGAAATCATTGATTCTCCGTAATTCGTCTTTTTTATTTTACTTTCTCAGAGGTTTTGTGCGACTATAACTGCATGGGAAATTGAGAGTCTGCTCAGCATAAACAAATAAAATATTTAATGTTTTTTTTTTTAGTTCATGTTTTATTTTCATTTTTAAACCCTAATTTGGGAAACCATGACATAATGCAATGTTTAATCCAACAATGAAATAGTTTTTTCTTTCTCTTTGTATTATTTATTGATATGGTACAAGATCATCCCATTCAAATCAATGATAATCATCAATGATCAATTTAGCAACAAACAAATCAAAAGTAATCTAAAAGTAATCAAAAAGCAGTCTGATTACATTACATTACATTAAATTTATAACGCAATAATAAACAAGTTACTAAATCTAAAAGTAATCAAAAAGTAGTCAGATTATATTACCATAAATGTGTTATGTAATAAAATACATTACGAACTACAATTCTTACCATGTAATTTGTATTCAGTAAGGGACTACAATTTGTAAGCACTGTTCACAGGTAAAGAGTCACCTGAAGTAGCCCATGTGGTGTTGGGTGTCTACGTTGCCCAGTATGATTGTCTGGAACTCTGGGGGATCATAAAAATGTCGCCAATGAAGATGGAAGTTGGGTTGAGATGAAGATGAGCGTTTGTATTTTTTGGACAGGATATCAAAAGGGCCAACTAGCTGGAGCCCAAGTGTTTCCTTTAGGGCATCTGTAAAGCACACAAACACCCATGCAACGACTAAATATCACTGCAACAAGACATGTAAATCACATAATTGTAATAGTATTCATTATAATATATTAATACACCAACAATATAACACAGATACCTTGCGGACAGTCAGCACAAAGACTCTTGCAAAATTCCCAAAACTGGAAAAAATCGTCAGGCATGCTTAGCTTGTACAATCTTTCCACTTCTTCTTTCATTTCTCCTGCAACAACAGTCTTCTCATCCCTTTGCCCTTCTTTTGGTTTTTTCACCTCCCCGTTTGGTGTTTCTATCTGGAACAGGCAACATTTGAATACCTTGTATAATTTGGCAGAAATTATCATTTCAGTAATAAACAATATAGGACGATAACTTTTCTATGAAGACACTCTGTCCAGTACAGAATTGTTAAGCAAAGAAAACATGTGAAAGCTGCAAATTAAGCTCATTACAATCGAAGGGACACATTTAAATTGTCACAATAAACCAATGCCAGATGATGATGATGATGATGGATTGATGCATGCATAAATTGTTAAGCAACTGATGTGCTGATACTAACACATTATTTGGGGTCTTGGCAACAGACTGCAGCTAATGAACACTGAAGAGTGAAAACACGAACAGATTCACACTTATACTTGCATAATATTCACTAGCACGACCATATGGATTGAATGATCAAACAAAATGACTGAAGTGTGGATGCTCAATCTAATACGAGTCACAATCTTTCACAAACGAGCATCCCATTGCCGCGCTGTAAATACCCAGTGTAAAAGGATAAATGGACACTGCACTCTAACTAACGTTACTCGAAATTGTGAAACATTTTTGAAGTAACGTTACCTGTGGCGAAGACCTGTGTTTTCTTTTCCCGCGCCCCGCCATGCCTGCTGTATTTTCCCGCAATCTCTCTCCTCAAAACGCCGCTGCCAGCCAGTACTTCTGAACTTCTGAACATCCGGTAGAGATTTCAAAATAAAAGTAGTGACCTGTGATTTGTTGTTATCATGTGCATGTCAGTCTATGGTGCTGTGTGTTATTTTATCTCCCTAATGAATAAGAAAAATTAGAAGCACAAACAGAAATGATGTTTTTGTCTATTTTTTCTTTCTTTCAAGCGATTGTATTTTCACACAGCACGAACAGTGTAGAGTGTGTACTATTATTTATTGATTTGCAACAAAACGCTAATATGTTTGTTTGTTTATTTGGATAAAAAGTATTATGAATATAAATAAATAAAATGTATGACTATGGCATCCACGTCAGAAGTGAAACTGAAATTGAAGTTTCAAGACAATATTTTAAAATAACAGCATGGCTTATATCATGTATTAGTGTTGTCAGTTGAATGAGCTTTTAAGAATATCGGTTTTGGATTTATATTTAGGTTTGACAAATATTTCTTGCTTAATATTTAAAATAGAATTTCAATTTCAATTATATTATATTCACACAATCGTATGAAAGCTGTGGGACTGTGAGGCATGTAAAATAACAATAATATTATATAACGTCAATAGAGAAGTAGGCCAATATAAATTAAACACTCATTTTATTTTATATTTAAAAATTATATAATGCAATAGAATCAGCAGGTTTTTTTTAGATTTTTGTTAATTGTATTTTAATCCAGTTTCTCCTGGACCACGTGCACATTATGCATGACGTGAAACAGAAGGAGGTGACAGTGGGAGTTTAAAAGGATGAGAAACAGTCTTGTGGAGAGTAAATCTGTCAAGTTAACTCAGATTCTAGGTTCACAGCAGGAATAATGATGTTCTGCAGAGCGGCTTGGCAAAGACTTGCACCTCTGGCACGAAAATCCCCCACTCCTTTATTCAGCAATGGTAAGAAAACATCAATTTACAATGGGCACATCATTCAATCCATATCGAATGCATTTCACCAGCCTACACTTCACAATCTAAAGAGAGTTGTTACAAAATACGCATAACTATAAATTATGAAGTTGAAAATTAAAAAAAAATAAAATAAATCATCGTATTTTTTAAGTGTGTGTGTCAGTGGTTTACGACATTGAGTTCTGTTTGTGTTATGTAACAAATTGAAATGAGATATGCTCATCAAATTCAAATAGGCCTATATAGAAATATGTTTGTTTATAGGGATTTTACAAAGCATATCAAAATATGACTTGTAAGCTGAACAATTAATCACATTTTCAGTAAACTACAAAAAAGTCTTTTGTCATGAGTGTTTTATAATGAAATATTACGAGGTTTTATCTGTTTATTGTAGCCTAGTGTTTTTTTCGATTGTTGTGATAAGTTGAATGTTATGAAATTGTTTACAGTGAGTTTTTTTTGTTTTGTTTTGTTTTTTTTAATGGACAATGTTTCATTTCAAAATGTTTGAGTTTGTTTATAATGCAGAGTTTTCCATAACCAATAACAGTGACATAAACCCTTTCCTGCTCCAGTGCATCTGTGGGAAAGCTGGGTTTGATCTGTTTAAATTTAATTTCCTGTCAAAGGATTCACTCAGTTTGAACTGCATGCATCTTTATTATTGCTTTAAAATATGAAGATCTTCTGCCCACTTTAACTTTGAGGGCTAAATCAGTTTTTCTACTGACTTTTCACATTTTGTGCATGATTTAACTTTTGCATTCACAAAATCTGTTCTGGCATTTCCTCAAACCACCCAAATATTTAAAGAGGGCCCTATTCAAGGCTCTCTGCCAACATGAATTTGCCTAAGGTCCTGCACATTGACATGCCTGCCGTCTCCACCCCAATGGGGTTAAATATATGCCAGTGTTTATGTATACAGCTTTCAGTGTTTTCAGAGAGCATGACTCTGCACACATTGTACTGGACACCTGCTGCCAGTCTCTTCTCCTTAACAGTGTGCTGACGCAGCCGTAAATGAGATTAAATGTATAAATGAGGTGAGGCACAGGCCACCTTGGTGCAAACAGTTATCTTATTATTGTAGTTGTTCCTGAAATTCATGCTTTGTACTATTGGATATTACTTAACAGAACTATTTAAAGTCCGGATTTTGGATTTAGTTTTGCACAGACACTGCATGTCCGGTGCATGTGCTCCTGTGGGATTAAAATGTTGCTCTAGAGAGAGGCTAGGAGGGGTGGGTTTACAGTGGGACATTGTGTTCCCTTCTGCTGCTTCACTGCAGCTACACAGAGGATGTGTGTTTGCCTAAATGAATGCACAGATATAAAAGCCTGAAACGCATGATTGCTGTATCAGGCTTGCCTGGTCCCCTGTAACTTTGCAAGCTACTTAAAATTTCCACTCATCAGACTTATCCACTGAAGTTGATTTGTGACATAAACAGTGCATCAGTGCCCGCCACCTTGTATTTTATCCGTTCAATTTTCCCATGGGGATAGTCTTCTTAAAAAAAAGGTACAAAAGCTGTCACTGGGGCTGTACCTTTTCAAAAGGTACACTTTTGTACCTAGAGGGTGCATATTGGTACCTTAGTACATATTAGCACCTAAATGTACATATTAGCACCTAAAATGTAATGTTTATTAGCGCCTTAAATGTACATATTAGCAGCTAAAATGTACTTATTAGCACCTAAAATGTACATATTAGCAGCTTAAATGTACATATTAGCACCTAAAATGTACACATTAGCACCTTAAATGTACATATTGGCAGCCAAAATGTACAAATTAGCACCTAAATGTACATATTAGAACCTAAAAGGGACATTTTACCTTTGAAAAGGTACAGCCCCAGTGACAGCTTTTGTACTTTTTTTTTTTTTTTTTGAGAGTGTAAGGGCAACATGTGGTACGCCCAGATTATATTCATACTACACAGATTCATACTATATAGAATGCATTTTTCTTAGCAGTTGTATAGTAATTACTTCTTCAAAATAAGTATTATCAAGAGAGTATATGATTTCGAGTGCGGCCATTGACCCAAATGCGTAATTCACAGTGCTTCAAAGGTCGGTCCCAACTTCTGGTTCACGTTGACTTTAAATTTGAAAAAATAAGCTTTTATTTTTTATTTTAAAAGCTTATTTTTTTATTTTAAAATTTATTTTATTTTTATTATTTATTTTTAATTTTTATTTCATGATATTAATTTCAAATATCATAGCTCAACATCATTGCTCACAGTCTTTAAAGTTATCATTCAAAATCAATTTTCCTATGAAGAAAATGAAAATTATTTTTTACTTTCAGAGCCCTGTTGCTAGCTCTCTTTTGTTCCACAAATGATTAAAAATGACATCACAACCACATTATCACATTAATATAATTTCATTTTTACATAAAAAATATTGAAATGGTTTGATACTCAGTCCCCAATTTTTGTTGTTTTCAGGAAAAATTCCTGCAAAGTTTTGATCATGTTGATAATTTAGAGGCCATAGAAATATAATACAGGAGGCTTTTTTATTATTAGAGGTAATAATAAAACATTGTAATGGATTTTCATATTTTAAAATTCGATTGATGGATGGTGAAGGAAAACAGACTCAGCTAGCCTCAAAAATGCTTCATATGTTTGTATATTGATTTTTTTTTTTTTCCTCTTGATCTTTCAACAGCTGTATTCCCTATACGACAGATGTCCTTTGGGCTACCTGCGTCCGGGACAAACATGGCTTACATGGTGATTGGTGGAAGCTCACTTACGGCTGCTCTTGTTTATGTATGTATTTTTATTTCTTTCATCCCGTTTTAGAAAACTTAGACGTGTTAATAATAATAATAGCACCCATTTATGCGTTTTCACCCCCTTTTCCTTCCACAGGCTTATAAGACAATAAACTCTGACAGTGAAAGATATAATGAAAGAATCGCTCAACTCGAGGCCAGACCAAAAAGTAAGATTTTTTTTTTTTTTGCTGTAATGGTTTTGTTTTTGCTGATGAATACCTGTTTTCAGTTTGCTTGTCAGTTAATCTTTCATCATCAGTAAAGCGGAATAATTTACACAGACAGCTGGGATTAGATTCCCATTCAGAGTTCTTTATTCCTGGCTTCATTGAATTGATGGGTGCTGCGAGTCAGGCCTGTTTTGGTATGTGTGTGTTTCTGCAGTTCCTTGGGGCATGATCCTCTTTCTGCAGTTACCCAGAAGCCACTAAGCTAGCTACATTTAGAGCAGCTTTCACTTGTTTACTTCTCTTGCTTGTGCTGTTAACCACCTTACTTTTTGTTCTCCCATTAGGTGAGGAAGGTGAGTATAAATTTAGCCTGTCTAAACAACATATCTGGGTTTTTTTTAAATGCACTGTCAGTAGTCAATTACAATCTCTTATCTTTTCCTTTTTTTACATGCAGCAGCATGTCACATATCTCACAAGCACTTTTCCAAAATTAGTGGCAAAACTTGTTTTGGCATTTGCAAACAGTTTAAATTAATGGACTTCAAAGTAAACACGATGGATGACACTTAGTAAAGTGAACTTTGTAACAGACTTTTATATTATCATATATAACCTTATAGAGTATTACTGTTCAAAACTTTTGGGTCAATTAAGTTTTGCTTTTATTCAGCAAAGATGTAATTGATCAAAAGTGACACTATGACGTGACAAATAGCGATAACAAATCATTTCTATTTCAAATAAATTATGTTCTTTGGAACTTTCTATTCATCAAAGAATCCTGTAAAAATTCTGAAGGATGGTGTGACACTGAAGACTAATAAATGCTGAAATAAATGCAGCTTTGTCATCACAGGAATAAATTGTATTTTAAAATATGTTAAAATAGAAAACCATCATTTTAAATTGTAACAATATTTCGCAATAGTACTATATGTTTAATATACAATACTGTTTTTTGTTTAAATAAATGCAGCCTTGGCGAGCTTAAGATACACTGTAAAAAAATATTGTTGGTTTAACTGCCTGCTTTGGCTGCCTTAAAAATTTAAGTTCATTGAAATGGAAAAATTGTGTTAATACAATGAAGCTGATTGATTTAATCATCAGAAACTTAAAATATTATGTTATCTGAACTACATAGTTTTTTTAAGTTGATTTGACAAAAGAAATAATGTTATGATTACAAATCATGAAAATATATTTTTTACAGTGTACTTTTTTTTCAGAAACATTAAAAATCATATTGACCCCAAACTTTCGAACGGTAATATACCTACAGTATATCATAAAATTGGTTTCTGATATCACTTATAATAACTGTTTACTACAGGAATAGTTCACCCAAAATGTTATTCCAAGCCCATAATTGTATATAATTTAATATTCTTACTTGAATTAATATAATCATATTAAACTAATTATATATATATATATATATATAATTATTTTACTATAATCAGTCACATTGTCTTCTGAAAGAATTGAAATAGAGCGCATTAGTTGTACGCTACTTTTTTCATCCTGGTACTTCTGTGTCCTTCATGGAGCTTGAAAGTTCCATGTACCATTTATTACAATTGCTTAGAAAAGAGTGACCACCAACATCTTCATAATTTCTTCTCTTTTTTTTAGTCCATGGAAGGAAGAAAATAAATAATGCAAAATTGACATTTTTTTTAACCAATCCTTTAACTATCTTGAACATTTATTTTGTTTGATGTTTTCTTGGTGATGTTTGATGTTTCCATTATCTTGAGCCAATCAAGCATCCATGCAGGTTCTTTATAATCAAATCTGTACTATTATGAGGTATTTGGCAAGTTTGGTTCACTTTAAACTCCAAATAAAGTTTCTAATGCTTACTCTAAGAGCTTAGACTCAAAGTCGGTTGAGCCTGTTGCTAATCTGAATGAATGGTTTCCGCTATCTATCTGCATCGTACTGTTCTCATAATCTCTAAAGTTGTTCTATTAAGGATAGTTCACCAAAATGGAAAATTATGTACTCCCATTATGTAGTCTCCTTCAAGTTGTTCCAAACCTGTTTTCTTCTAATACTGAACACAAAAGAAGATATGGTAACCAAACAGTTGATGGAACCAATTGACTTCCATAGTCACTGTTGTAGTACTCGAGACTCGGACTCGGTCTCGAGACCATATTTTAATGGTCTTGGTCTTGTCATGGACTCGTGTCCAGTTGGACTCGGAATTGACTCGTACTCGAACATTTTTTTTTTTTTTTAGGACTCGGAATTATTCCCGAGTCCACTCGAGTTCAATTAAAAATATTTTTCATGATTATTAATGTATGTTAATAAAATATTTCTTTGAATTGATTGACACGCCCAGTGATTGGTGATTTTCTAGTGCGCAACTGCGCATGACAAATTGTAATAAAATTACTTTTAACACCACCTACTATGTGGCCTTTTTACCCTAAACTGATCATATTTTTTAAACTCTAAGTAAATTCAGTAAAAAACAAAAAAGGATTTCTCTAAGTAAATAAAAGTAAATTAGGTAATCAACCCTCACTGGTCTCGGTCTCGACTCGGACTCGACCGTCTCTGGTCTCGTACTCGACTCGGACTCGACTCTCTATGGACTCGGTCTTGACTCGGACTCGACTCTCTCTGGTCTCGGTGTCGACTCGGACTCGAGTGAGGTGGTCTCGACTACAACACTGTCCATAGTATGGGGAAGTCAATGGGCCTAACCAATCAATTGTTTACTGATATTCTTCAAAATATCTTCTTTTGGATTTCAGCAGAAGACAGAAATTCATACAGGTTTGGAACAAATTGAGGGTAAGCAAATGATGACAGAATTTAAATTTTTGGGTGAACTGTCACTTTAATGACGGATGGAAGTAATGGATTCATTTAGTAATACTTTCGCTAAGTCTGCTTTATCTTTTTAATCACTTGATCATTTTGTCTTTTCTTAAAGTCTTGCTTAATGTACTCCAAGTAGGAGCAGCGGCCGCCTTGGCCTCAGTAGCAGAAGCAGCTGCGATTGTGGAAAGCGCAGTAGCTGAAAACACCGCTATTGTTGAGGCCACAGCAGCAGAACTCGCCGTAGAAGTGGTTGACGCGAAGACTGAAGAGGTCCCAGAACATGTGGATGGAGCAATGGTGGTGGATGCAGCAATGGAGGTTGAGGCAGAAACTGCCATTGTACAGGCAGTAGCAGCTGATGCCGAGGAACCTACTGCACCTGTTGTTGAGGATGTTGAGGATGTTGCTGCTGAGACTGCGGCTCCTATTGCCGAGACAACTGGTGAGGTGTCCTCTGTTGAGGAAGCAGCCTAGATGTAAACCCCCGATGTGAATCTTCCCAACCCCACTTGGAACGCTCCAATACGTTGTAGAGACTCCCTCTGTTGTGCACCTTTTATCCGATTGACTGTGTCCTCTGAGCATAAAGAAGTGTCCTTTTTTCAACTTGTGACCTTTAGTGGGTTCTAATCCCATGACTGTGAGAAGGAGAGGTTGAGGCTGTACAAAAACTAAATACATGACAATTAACTTAAATTGCAAGTGGCCTTTTTATTATCCCAGTCTGTGTTTTTACACTTAAAAAAAAATTATATATCACATCTGTGTTTTTTTAACCTCTCCTCCTTCACAACCAGTGGTTGTGCCTGCTATAAAACCCTCACTCATGCGTGTGCAGGGAAACATTTGTCTTAAATAACTCATATTGACAATGTTGTTGTTGTTTTATTGACGACGAGAACATGCAAACATTTTATGGACACTTTCCAGGGTTGTGGTTCATTTAGAACTGAATTCCAGTCCAGTTTCGAGTCAATATAGGCTACACATATACATGCACGCAGTTTCCCAGAATACCTTTACTGACTTTCTGTTGGGTGTGGCCAATTTTTAAATGTGTCTGACCTACTTTGAAGACATGCATTCCAAACCACCATGGGCTTATAAGCAATTCTGTCTTCAAGGGAGATTTAATGTTTTATCATTGTTTTTCCACATGTGAATACTTACTACTCTCAGCTTTTGGGATGGAGACAAACCCCTGTGTGCCTATTACCTAACAGTTAATCATCTCTGTGGATATCTCTTAACCCTCTGGTGCTTCTCACGTGGCAGTCAAAAATTAAATACTATATTTCAGTTCAGTCATTTTTTTATCCACTTATTTGAATTTTTAGCGGATTTTATGGTACTAAATTATGTTTATGCAGTAGTTATAAATAATCCATGTACTCACTTTTTGAGAATAGACAGGAAAATTAAATTTCCAATTTAAACCGTCACAAATCTTGAATGCTTTGAAGTGGAGACTTGAGTTTGGTCTCTTTTTTAAAAGAGACTTGGCAGATTATTGCTGAAAAAAAAAAGTAAAAAAAAAAAAAAAAAGTAAACTTAAAGTCATAAAAGTTTAAATTTATTGTTAACAATGAAATTTTAAATTGAAATTTGAATTTTTATATGAAATATAAATTTTCCAAAACAAGAACTTTGGGGAAAACAAGGCCGTAAATCTAAACAAATTGTGTTCCGAGGTTGATATTTCCAAAAATGCGCTTTCCGTAATGTTTTGTCTGAGTGCAGTACCAAACACTTCCACTAGAGTAGACAATTGATTTCAATTTTTGTATTCTGCAAGGAATACAAGCGTGACTATTTTTTTTTTCTCAAGACCATTTAACCTTTTTGAATCATGATGTGTGTGTGTCTGTGTGTACATAGCAAGTGCCAAAACATTACCACATTTCATACCATTCCGACACAGTAAAAAAACAAAAAAAACAACAAAAAAACGTAACATTTGTTGGTCAATAATGACTGAAGAGCACCAGAGGGTTAAAGTGAAATATAATAAGGAAATATTGTGGCACTTACACGTCATAATACTTGACACTAGAGACATTTGCTCTTATTCTCAATGCTTTTTGGAATTTAGGCTTGACCATCTCAGAATTTATGTTGATTCGTTTTTAAAACTGACACACTATTTGTATTCCCTAAATAAAGTGCTTAAAAAATATGATTATTTTTGGAGTATGAATTCAATCCCATTACTACATGCATTTTTTATACCTTTACATCATGAACCGTTAAATTACAAGTGTGTTTCTGTATATTGTTGTAGAATAGCTCCTATTGTGTTTTCAATCAGGATGCTTTGCTTATAGTTTAGATTAGAACATCTGCTTTAAACTTTTTCACAGTCTTGTAAATACAGATTAAATCCCAATTCCTCATGTTGGCTAATGCATCCCAATTGTTCCTGCTAAAGTCTATAGTTTGTATACTTGACAAATGTGTTCAAACCGGCTTGATTATAATAACTTTATGCTGAGATTCTGCAGGCATCTCTTACATTTAATCTAAAGCTCTCTTATGTGTGTTGATTATTTAATCATCTTAGAGATTTATGCCACTTATGGTGTTTTAAGGAGATTTCCTACCACCTTTAAATCCAGCTTTGAAGATTGCAGAATCTTTCCTATTCATGTCCTACAGTATCATTGCTCTTCAGTAAAAAGTACTCAGCTGCCCCCTGCTGCTCGGGGTCAAACTTTACTGTAGAAATATAGTCAGCCATTATCGCAAGCACATTTCAAAGACGTGAACATGAGGACATCTTAGATATAAATCTTAAAATAAATCGTTAAATACATGTTTCCATCTAGATACAAGATTCTGAGAAATTGCCAAACGGAAGATCTAATGAGCTTAGCATGTGTGGGAAAAATTTGACCTCACTTGTAACGTTTTCCAAGTTATTTTACTGTAATCTAAAAACACCCCCATTAACCTATGTTATTGTGGGATTATTTTAAGTGTCATTTGGAACAAAGTTGCAGAAAGAACATACATGCCTTCAGAAGTCTTTCAAATTATAATTCCTAACTTGAATCAACAAACAAATTGGGGAAAAAAAGCATCATAAATATTTGGCTCTCTGACAAATTGCTTATGTTCCTCTTTTGTCAGTCACTCTGGATAAAAGTGTCCTGAATGCATACATGTAAATCAGTGCTATATTGATATATGGATTTTGTAAATATTTTTTTTTTTTGATTTTTGTAAATATTTCATTTTTTATATTTTCTGTTTTTGTTTTAATTTTAGTTAAATCTTTAGCAATTTAGTTCTGTGTTTTTATTATTCTTGTTATAATATAGGGCTGTCAAACGATTAATCGCAATTAATCGCATCCAAAATAAAAGTTTGTGTTTACATGATATATGTGGGTGCACTGTGTATAATTATATATATATATATATACACATGCTTGTATATATTTAAGAAATATTTTAATGTATATACTGTATATAGATTTATATATAATTTATATTATATACTGTATAAATATCAATATTTTATAGATATTATATATAAATAATCTTTTTTTCTTAAATATACATGCATGTGTGTGTATTTATATATATACAAAATAATTATACACAGTGCACCCACATATATAATGTAAACACAAACTTTTATTTTGGATGCGATTAATCGTGATTAATCGTTTGACAGCCCCAAATATGTCTAATTTTTATTGGTTTTAGTTTATTTAGTTTAAGGTTTTTTTGTTGCTTCAACTTAAATGAAAATGAGAAATGTTAATTTGGCAATAGCTGAAATAAACAATTTTATTATTTTTTTTATTTTATTTTAAGTTTATTATTCACACACACAAAAAAAAACAGTTTATTGTTTATCAATGTTTATTTTATTTCAAGTAATGACAATGTTTTTATGGTTTTAGCTTTAGTTAATGATTATATGACGTACATTCCAAAGGATTCTTCATAATTTCCCTTAAATTCACAGAAAAATAAAATGAAGCTAAAATAGATCAACTTCATGCAACTTATTGCAACTAATCTTGTTGCAGTTGTCACGATGTCTGATCTACCGAGCACTGTGAAAATCCTGGCTGGATCTACAGGAGAGATTGCAGCAGCTTCAGTTGGAGATCAGCACCCGGTGGCCACATTGAGGTTGGCTGAGGACAACAATTCTGTGGAGATCCTCAATGGGCTGGAGGCGGTAGAGGTCTCAGCAGAAGTGCCTGAGGAAGCTGAGGTTGAGGAGCCCATGATTGGTAGATCCGATCTGAAAATAGAAGAAGGAGAACTGGAGGAACTGCCTTCAGCGCTTCGAGCAGAAGAAACTACTGAAGTGGGAGACGACCATATCAAGTCTGAGGAAGCTAAGGTTGAGGAGCCCATGATCGGTAGATCCGATCAGAAAATAGAAGAAGGCGAACTGGAGGAACTGCCTTCAGGGCTTCAAGCAGAAGAAGAAACTACTGAAGTGGGAGACGACCATATCAAGTCTGAGGAACCTGAGTTTGAGGAGCCCATGATCGGTAGATCCGATCTAAAAATGGAAGAAGGCGAACTGCAGGAACTGCTTTCAGCGCTTCAAGCAGTAGAAGATGACCATATCAAGTCTGAGGAAGACAGCCCTGTTGTGGCTGAAGTGAATGCTGAAAGTCCTGCTTCATCAGAGGAGGCCTCTGTTACAAAGATGGAGAGTATTTTGGAAGGGGAAGAGTCATTGAGTCCTGAGGTGATGTTGTCAGACAATGAGACCATGTCTGGATCTGCAGAGGTGACGTCAGAGATGGTCATGGCATTAGGTCAACAAATAGAGGAAGATAAAGCATTATGTCATGAGCCAGCTGCCACAGAAACAGAACATTCAGACCTCACAGCGCCACCAACAGACCTGGAGGAAGCACTAGAGGCCACAACAGAGTCTGCAGAAGAAGTTGCTGTAGAAATGATGCTGGATTCTGTGGAGGAAGCTAAACCAGTTAAGGCATCAGAGGAAGGTAATCAAATTATATTACCTTAATGACTCTCTTTGTGCACTTTTTAATTGGACATCAGTTTGGGACATTCAGTCATCTTGTACTTCTTTTTCCACAGCTGTTGAAAGTGGAAATGTTTTGATGACCATGGCTCAAGCCTGACGTGAATGTTGCACAGAACCTGCGACACAGAAATCAAGTCAAAACCACAGAATCTGTAACATGGAATACATGCTGAAGTTAAAGTAAATAGTTCACATCTTAACATCTTAACTGTCAGCCAAAACAGTTTTGAAGTTATCTAATTTTGTGTCTCTGGAACTCTGTGATTATGTGTGATTGTATAATATGAATATCAAAAGTCTTTATATTTTTGTTAATGAGAGACTTGGAAACACAATAATTAATTTAGATTTTTGAAGTGAACAAATTAGTTTTAAAAAAGATCATATTGGACCCTCAGAATTAAGGTCCCAAGTGGCATGTTATTAAACGTATCATTAGTTTTAATTTAATTTAATGCTTGCTGTAATTAATTGGGTTCTTATTAAATAATTGCACAAGTTAGATGTATTTCAGTCATCTTTGCTATTCATTAAAGCCTGTATTATCTAATTGAGTTAATTCATTGAATTCAGTTTAAATTAATATAGTATTATCCTAATTATCTTCAACTAAAATATGATCAATTAAATATGTATATTAGCATAGAATAAAGTTACTGTAAATAAAGTTACATAGAATAAAGTTACTGTAAATGTAATTACATAGAATAAAGTTACTGTAAATGAAGAGTTCAGATGCAAAAGCCTCTAAATGCCATTTGAAATTTTCTTCTTTAATGATGATTTTTATCAAACTTGTATATTTTATTTCATTAATTTCACTTAAATGGCAATGATAATTACCTATTAATTGTTATTTAAGTGAAATTACTGAACTTAAATATACAAGTTTGATAAAAATCATCATTAAAGAAGAAAATTTCAAATGGCATTTAGAGGCTTTTGCATCTGAACTCTTCAAATGTAATTACATCAACTTTAGATAATGTATTATCTAATTGAGTTAATTTTTTGAATTCAATTTAAATTAATATATAATATTATCCTAATTATCTTCAACTAAAATATGGTCAATTAAATATGTATATTATAAAGTTACCTTTCAAATTAATCTCTATAATGGGATTCTTATTTGGTTATTCAATTATTCAACTGAATTGTCAAAACTATTTAAATAGAACAGACGATTTAGTATTTTATAGCAATGCACTTTAGATAAAAAGTTATTATGAAATAAATATGAGCAAATATATATTTTTAATATACATTATATCATACAGATTGCTTGTTCAATGAGTCTGAAGTCTAGAGGTTTTCAGAGGTTTTCATAGGCTTGTGTTGTTTCTCGTTTTGTTTCAAGGACCAATGTATTTTGGAAAAGTGATACAACTTTTCAAATATTGACAGCTGTGAAACAGTGTATACTTCATCGTTTTGTATAATTATTATAGCCTATATGCAGTTTTTATAAATATTAGACTTGTCTCTTTGAAATAAAGAATAGGCCTATAGCTACTCTATCTCTCTTTCAATCATTCACTGTGAAAGAATGAAACGAAAACAAATACAGACATTCAATGATCAGATAATCATTAAACTGTCAAAACATCACTGCTGGAAACATAATTTAAAACCATATATTTTGAATAAATATTTTTTTTAAATAGACTATTATGTGTATGTTCTGTTTAGCTTCAAACAATGTTAAAAAAATACCTTTCCCCACATAAAATATGAACCATATACCAATCAAATTTTGGTTTTGTCAGTATAAAGTTACATCAGAAGTCAAACAGCAGAGGGCGCTACATATATGCAGGTTATTCGGTATGTAGTTTTAGTTGTAGACGAGATATGAATGAGTTCTCTAAATTAACTTAAACAAGATCAAGTTCATCTATATTTTCTACATGTTGCTTTAAACTGACGGCATATTGCCCTAGACCCACAATGAGCCCAGCAAATTTAAGTTTTTCTCCTATGATGATTATAGGCTATTTCTACTTATAACATCTGCATTTTAGTTTGGGAAAATGTGGAATGATTGTGTTAGAAGTTTTTCACAATTGCTTTAGAATGTATGGCAGTCTGTTCCGTGATTTTTAGCCTACTTTCGGTTTCCGGTCCAAAAATGGGCCTACATTTAGGTCTATAGGTTTGAGGGTTTTATTACCACAAAAAACGTCCCTGTTTTATTAATATTATTTTTCTGTTATTTTTGACAGGAATGTCTACTTTTCATTTTAAAGATTAACTCCAATAAAATAGTCTGTTGGCATGGCTATGTTTACATACTATTTTCAAGGCATTATACACGAAAAAAATAATGACGAGAAAATGAACAAGAACATAAACAATATAAAGTGCCAATTAATTAATTAATAAAAATAATATAAAAAAACAATAAATATATGCCTTGTCAAGACATTATAAAAAACTACTGTAATATACATTGATATAGTCTCTGACTTTGTTAAAGGCAGTAAGTTAGTCGGTTTCTCAGGGTGCATTTCTCTCTCTCTCTCTCTCTCTCTCTCTCTCTCTCTCTCTCTCTCTCTCTCTCTCTCTCTCTCTCTCTCATTCAACTACATCACGACTGTGACCTGGATCTTCTGTCTGCAAACACAAACCCTCCATGTCCTCTGTACTCGATCAGTGTAAGCGACTGATTTCACTTGGACCAGTAGTGGTGTTGAGGCCCGTCACAGTCAGTGTAGTTCAGTGTCCGTTTAGACCCGTGTATGTGATCAGGTGTGTTAGAGCTTAGCCGCTAACGGCCACCACAGTGTGACGGGCTCTAACCCACCACAGCCACCAAACTCAGTTTCTTTGACCTGTGTAAACCAAACAAGTACAGAGTGTGGGTTTCATTTGGAAAATCAGCTTTTAAAGGTAAGAAATCTACTTTTACGCTGTCCATACGCCGAAGAAGCATTAGCAGAGACTATGCGGTTATATTAGCTTAGCACTATGTAACGAATCTATTGAGGCTCTTTACGGTGCTATTTAGTGTCGCTTTACAATATAAAGAGTAACTTCAACATGTATACAAATGTTTGATCGATTATTTGTTTGAAAGTGCCTATATTTCTTCTGTTGTGAGCTCCTCTGTGTCGTATTTGCTGGCTGGCTAAGCTAAATGCTAGCAGAGAGTTGACAACTAACGTTAACCATTTAACATTAACGTTTCGCTTCGGTGTTGTTCATATCTCTGGTTTCCTACTAAGATTAAGCTTTTTATGGAAGCAAAGTGTTTCAAAAATATTTTTTTTTTAGCTTTGAAATGTATCGCTGATGGTTTGGTACTATTGCAATAATGTCAGATGATCAACTGTTCATAAGGTTTATGCTCGAAGGCTGTTTTTTTTTTCTTAAAGAGCACACGAATACTATAAATTATAATAGTCTCCCTTGTAAGGAACTGAGATAACATTGGTGTGTGGTATTTCCTTCAATGTTTATATTGTAACGCCCACTTATTTGGACAGAGTACAGCAGCATCAGGGTTTTGTGTTGTAAACACTGATTTAACACTCACTCTCATGGTAAATGTCAGGATTGTATTTGCTGGCATGTAACTGTTACAGTGAAATGCGAACCTCTGATAAGATCTCATATGGAAGGGATTACATATTAGTGTTGAAATTATGCCACAGACTTTAATTCCAAGGTTTGATCGATTATCTTAGCAAGGTCACTGACCTTTACATTTGGACCAGGAACCCTGTGGGGTCCAAAAGGGATTATTAGGGGGTCCTTCCGTTGAAATGTTTTCAGAAAAAGTGTCCAAAAAAGAAAGAAAGTTGGATTTAAACAAATACATATAAAATTAAAATAAATATATAATTTGAATTAAAACAAATGAATTAATAAATAGGCTATAACAGGACTATGGCGAGAAGGGAAAATGCAAAAATAATTCAATAGAATATAGACATTTTTAAAGTATAAATTGGGTCTTTATTCAACAAACTACCTTTGCATGAGGATGAGCATATTTGTGGCATTTAAAAGATTGAAAACCCTTAATTTAGACTGTTGGAAATGGAGGGAAGTGCTGAAGTCAACAACAGTGGACTTTGATCTACCTCAGCAGTTGCTGAATTCAAGCGATAAGGTCTTTGAAAGCTGCAGATTTCTTTGCTCAATTAGGAATTACATCTCCATATCACAGTATGATACATTTTCTTAAAGCCAATGAAAGATTGGTTATTGAGACAAATGAGCATGCAAGGGCGGCAGACCAAATATTGGGGAGATTAATTTAGGGTGGAGCATAAATGTGTGTGAGTGTGGTGTGCGGTCATCGCAGGGTTGCAGATTGAATCCCCTTGAGTAGGGTGAGTTTCTGTTCGTGCTTTCATTGAATTGAACTGTTTTGTTTTTTTCTAGCTATACCCACATCTTTGTTCCAGTTAACTGATTTGGACTTTATCATAAGGGCATGTTTAAATGAAAGTAGGCATAGCACGCAGATGACATATTATGTTGTCATGGAAGCAACGTGAATAATAAACTCATGAATGTTAACTGAATTTGACTTCCTTGCATGCTCTGAAAAGACCATGATCATGCAAAGAAATTGAATAGAGTAAACATCATGTGGATTTCATGTTGACTTAAAAATTAAGATGGCATCAAACTGGGTTTCCCTGCTTTTCCAGATGCTAAGCGGGGTGTGGTTCAGTGCTCTTTGGAACCAGAATTATTTAATGTGAAGCCTTTGCTCCCTATGAGTTGCCATTGCATGACATTGTCAGATAGTTTTAATTTCCATTTCTTAATTATTGATTTACCTGGGATGGTGACTGATCTTCTTGTATCTAGGTCTTTTTCTCATTTTTTTAAATCCCTTGACTAGTGATCTCCATTTAACTATATCATTTATATATTATTAAATGCCTGCACTAGTGATAATTTAAATTAAGGATGCTAACAATGATTAATTTAATTGTCAATAAGAATTTAATCGATAAAATTCGTCAATGGTCGATTAAGCAAGGTCATCGTTGGAATAAGTAGTTTTGAGGTGTGTTTGGCTCTGAGGAAAAATTAAGTGGGCGTCCCGTATTCTTCATTTTTTTCATGTTTCATATTGAGTACTATAGTATATATTAATTACTTTATTTTATTAATTTAAAATATTTTAGATATGTTGAAACTGACACACTTTTTTTTCAAAAATACTCAAACAAACAAATAAATAAATAAGCACTTTGTGGTGTAAAAACCAATAAAGCATGAAAAAGTCCATGAAATTTTTATTGGATATTTGAATTTTTATTTTTTATTATTTTCAGTGTATTATTTTAAATTGTCACTTTGACATTATAATTTTTCTGATTAATCAGATAAAACAAATTAAAACAAATTAAGGCCACTGTGTAAAATATGAATAGGTCCAAGGAGTGAATCATTTTTGTATTCGCTATAGTTTAACTTGCTCACACACACACAACCCTTATTAGATGACTGCAATGCATTCTGTGCACTGCTGTGGTG